GTACGTAGGATATAATCATCCCACCATGGGATGGTTATCCCCGAATTTATGCGCAAAATTGTTCTCAAGTTTTGGCCATTGTGCATATCAACATAGTGTATAATATACATCATATCGCATTTAGTGAGTGGTACAAAAATGTGTGCATTTAAATATAAATATGAATATGTATATATGTATATATATATGTGTAAATATGTATAAATATGTATATATGTATACACCCATATATGTATATATCTTTAAATATATGCATATATCTTTATATGTATATCTATATATGCAAAGTAAAAATGTATATATGCAAATATGTATATATGTGAAAATGTGTACATGTATATATGTAAATGTATATGTATATTTATATGCATGTGTAAATATATATGTATGTATGTATGTATGTATGTATGGATGGATGGATGGATGGATGGATGGATGGATGGATGTATGGATGTAATGTATATCTATATACATTATATACGTGTATGATCATATATGTTCATATTCATGTGATGATATCTATCCCATGATATCCCCATTTTTGGTGGACGCTCCTAGGCCCCTCACCAGGCGTCCGCGGCCAGCAAGGAACCCGAGACCACCTGGCGGCGTTGAGCCCTCAAAATTACCCCCAAGAATCATGGGAAAATGGCAGGAAAAATTGGAAAATCTGGTAAATTATTGGAGAATCCTGGAAAGATGTGAAAAACCAATGTAAATCATGGAAAATGTCGAACTAAATGGATCGAGTTTACATGAAACCACGTTTCTATAATCAGGGATATTCATGGACCCACTATGTTCAAGCAATTTCACAGTTGTTTCAATATGTTTAATCTGAAATTTTGTTTTTGGTTCAAGATGTGTCTACAATTCATCATTCCCACATGGGGGTCAACAACTCTGGGTGTGGATCGAAAACAGACGAAACGAACAGAATTGGTGTATCATCCAGGAGTATCAAACAAATTCGGAAATGGTTTAATTCAACGTTTAGCCTCTGGTGAACTAACATAGCAATGGAAAATCACCATTTTTAATGGGAAAATCCACTATAAATGGCCATTTTCAATTGCTATGTTAGTTCACCAGAGGGTAGCACCTTTGGTCATCAGGGGTCGATGATTTTTTGAGCCCCCGCTAGGTCGTCCCACCGCAGCTGCTCCGAGGCGAGGGAAGATGCGCGTTTTGGATGCAGGCGAGGCCGCTTCCTGGTTTTTTTCCGATGAAGTAATGTGGCGATCTCAAGAAGAAGGGGATATAGTAGGATATTTATGGGATATTCATAATATCATGGTGGGACATTATGGTATAACTTTAATAAATCATCCGCAAAATAACTATAAATGGGTGGTCTAACCATCCCCAAATCGTAGGTTTGTGGCATTGGGTGCATCCCACATTGGATAGGAGATGGGTTTCTGACAAAAATATGTCCAAGCCTTATCGAGGGTTTTGAGAAATGATATTTTCCATCCACCAACCAGCCATTTATTGTTCAAATCCATCATTTTTGTTGCTGAACACCGCCAGTTTTGTCCTCCGCAAAGTAGCGCCGCGCCGCCACCGTTGGCACACCTGGTGCAGGTGAAAGTGGCGTTCGCAAAAAACACGGGGAGATCACAGACCAAGCGTTTTAAGTGGGGATAAAAAGTGGGGTAAATGGGATTTGAATCTTGAGTCTCACATTTTAGAGATATTTACATATTTATACATATCTGGAGATGAGCAACGACATGGGGACTCTATATATATATATATGACTCTCAGAAAAATGTGGGCATCTTTCTAGCGAGTCAACCCATTTTTGTGGTACCCAATTAGTCAACCCCGGATGAATCAACCCTGACTATTTGGCTAAAACCCCAACAAAAATGCCAACAGAAAGTGTTGTTTCCTGGGTTACCCGGCCTGGTAAACTAACAGTTGCGAACTTGAAAATGGCCATTGAAATAGAGGATGAATACCCGTGAATAGCATGGTGGATCTTTCCAGTTCGTTCTGTGGCTGTTTACCAGGCCGGGTAACAGCCACAGTCCACCTGCGATTGACCCAGCTTCGCAGCCCCTCCTCTTCGCAGACGCTGAAAACGGATGGCCCGCATGGCGGACGACCCGAAACAAATGTTCCGTGTGCGATCGAATCTTTGTTGATCACCAACAAAACTCTGGGAAAAAACTACAGGAGTTCATATAGTGGGTTGGTTTGCAGTCGATTTTCAAGTTAGGTCGGGCCTGGACGCGTTGAAAGATGTATATTTCAAGTTAGGTCAGGCCTAGTGAGTCCCCTGGTCCTTTCTATGAGCAGAACTGCAAGAAAGTACGGGATTGGTGGTTTGAAGTGACGACAAGAAGTTTATCCAGCTGGTCAACGTCTTGTTCAAAAAAATAGATCGTTGGATCCAAGTCATCTACATCGATGATATAAATCATATGACTGATATGAATGATGTCAATGACATACAGTAGGCGATATAAATGGTATAAATGATATTATGAATGATATAAGTGATATAAATGGTGAATCATGAACCACATGTGTATATATATATATACAGACGTACGTACGTACGTACATAACATAACATAACATAACATAACATAGCATTACATTACATTACATAACATTACATTACATTACATACATACATACATATACGTACATATACATACATATACATACACATATACATACACATATACATACACATATACATACACATATACATACATATATATATATATACATACATACATACAATACAATACAATACAATACAATACAATACACAATACAATACAATACACAATACAATACAATACACAATACAATACAATACACAATATACAATACAATACACAAGACAACACAACACAATACAATACAATACAGTACAGTACAATACATACATACATTAATTAAATTACATTACATTACATAACATAACATTACATTACATTACATATATACGTTACATTACATTACATTACATTGACATTACATTACATTACATTGCATTGCATTGCATTACATTACATTACATTGACATAACATAACATAACATAACATTGCATTGCATTGCATTACATTGCATTACATTACATTACATTGACATAACATAACATTACATTACATTGCATTGCATTGCATTACATTGCATTACATTACATTACATTGACAGTGACATAACATAACATTACATTGCATTGCATTGCATTACATACACACGTACATACATATATATATATACACATGAGTACTGGTGTATAAATCTTCGGATGGGAAGCGCTATATTTCAGCAGTGAATTAAAGTTCATCCGAATCTTACGGCTCACGGTGCTCATCATGGTTGTGTGTTTCTCCCCTGCTGAATCCGTGCTGTGGGATAAATGGTAAATCCATCTAACCCCACATACACTCTAAAATTTATGGATGGGGTTATATATTTAACAAATATAGTATGGGGGTGTTTTATTAATACGAATATATACTAACAATAAATGCAAAAAAGCCTGTATAGCTATGGCTATCGATTCAGTATTGACACGTCGTCCCTTCAGAATCGGCTCCGCAGCAGGCGCAATCGCGACAGATTTTACACTAAACCAATGCATCAGCAGAGTCAGTGACCATCCTGTGGATTTTCTTCGTCGGGGGTTCAAGAAACGGCCTTCGTCAGCCTGAGTCCACAGAAACCAATACTTTGTGTGTACCAAAATTGCCGCAAGATGCGTGATTCTTTGGGATGTCGTCAATCTTGAGATTTCTATCACCCAGGTGACATTTGGCTATGAGTCAAAACCCGTACCCTAAAATAGCTGTGTTTAATGGATGGTTATTCCACCAAATGTGGTAAGTTCATAGATTTTTCCATGCCCATTTGGAAATAAAAAACAACGACAAAACTACAGCACCGAGCCACACTTCCTGGCTCACTGACTGCTGAGGTGAGACGGGGATTTGGGACTACAACGTCAGTGGCCCAAGGATTTCAATCATGATCTAATGACTTGGATGACTGGGGGTACCCTCATGACTTCGGAAACCTCCTTAAATATTGCGTGAAGAAACAAAACAACTTGGAGTCACAAGCACAAATCCTAGACATGAATCGGGGTGTGTTAAACGTCACGAAATTCTGCAACCGCAGATAGAAAATATCGGGATTCCAATGGTGACCAGGTCGTGTGAGTCAAAATGCGGAGGTTTTCCTGCCGAAGCTGGAGATTTACAACCAAACAACCCTAGTATACACGTTATATCTGATACCAGAGGATATAACTTGATAAACATGTAACCTAAGAATGGAGCTGATGTGTTCTCAATGTATAACCAGAAATGAGTCAGTCAGACTGGCGTCCACCGACGTTTCGACTTCTGATGACCCCCGGATGGCCGGTTGATCTGGTTGATGGGCTGCGGCATCTGTGGGAAATACCTTCATCTACAATGGATTAGGTTTCATAAGAATGTAGAAAATAATGTAGATGAAGATATTCTATAATGACCTGTCGTATTGTTATTGGGTCTACATTCTATAATCCATCAAGAATATTCAAGAATCGCACGTTTAATGGCTCAATTGGACCTAGTTCTTCGCTCAAAAGTTGCTTGACAGGTGGACCTGAACAACCCTAACATCAACAGCTTGAGCTTAGCAGCTTTGCATGGATTGCATTTCAGTGCATTTCTGGGGAAAATTCAGACCCAAAGATCGAAGCATAACTGGATTTCCTAAGCTGTTGATTCCTATTGAAACAATGGACCTCCGGGAAAGATTCCCATCATCCGATGCTTGACGAATTCCAGATGGGCCGAGGGCTCTCTGTCCATCTCAGGAGCCATGACAGGTTCGTGAGCTGAAGCGTGCTAAATGGGAAACCCATAGCTGCCATAGCTCTCTTAGGTTCTGTCCATGTCAGAAAGGGAAATGTCCATGTTGGAAAGACTTCAAATGGACCAGCAAAAAGGTTAGTCAGTTAGTCATCCTATTCAAAAGTGGTAAAATGCTATGTTCTCTCAACTCACAAAATGATGCCCATCCAATTTTGGAGGGGCAATCATTTTGCACCGCAGTCACATCCGGATTTTCGGATCGGAAACTCTCTGCATCGGGGCATCTTCAACGTATTGTTTGTTGGCTCGTTCTCCAAAGGCATTTGTCCTTGCAGGCAAAGGTTAGGCGTATATATATACATATATATATATGTGATATCATGGAATGTCCCCAGTGATACATATACATACTATATTATATATATATATATGTAATAGTTCATTTGTATATAACTAACTGGGGAAAGTCCATATATGACTTGGTAATAAACATGCCCATGGTGCGATTCCTGGGGAAAACTGACAAGAAACAAGGGCTTTGAAAGAAAGAGATGCTTGAGTACTGAGGATGACCCCCCAATCTGTGGGTCCGTAGGTCTCAAAGTTTACCCTGCAATTTTAACATTGCCACAGAAAATTGCCATGTTCAGTAGGTAAATTATCTATTCAATGGACCATTTTCGATGTTAACGACCAGGTCGGATAAATCCGATCAAAATTGGAAGTGTATCCTTCTGGATCGAAAGTCCAAGGTGAAATGACTTGCATGAAGCAACCAGCTTGGATCATGATCGAGAACCGTGGGGAAGGATTTGCCCAAAAGCAAGGACTACCCAACTAACGTAACTATGGAAAATCACCATTTTTAATGGGTAAATCACCGTTTAAATGGCGATGTTCAATAGCTATCTTAGTTTACCAGAGGGTATCCTCCAAATATGCTGATTGGATCTTGAAGGATCTGGATTTCCTACAAACATTCAAATCAATCCTTACGCAGACCTGTGTATAGTAGGTCATTTGAGGGCGTCATTTCACGTAAATATGGAGAAATATCATGAAATCTCCCCATCATTTCTCCAAGTTTTCTTGTGTTTGACCATCTTTCCCATCCATGCCACATCGCACTCCTTTGGATCTCCCGGCATCCTTGGCACGACTCAACGCCTGCGACGTCCTCCAGTGATGGAAACATTGGATGGAAACATGGTAAAAACCATGTCTCCTTGAGCGGTTTAAAAAAAAAAACGCAAGACTTGGAAGATGTTCAAGTATTGACTGGCCAAAAGAATCGGAAGCTGGAAAACCTTCAAAGTACTGGGGTTTACCAAGGTGTAGGCAAAGGTGCCAAAATGAGCGCACATAGCTCATCGCTACGAAAAAATACGGAAAATGATGATAAGTCTATGTAAGCAACAATGCAAAACGGCAAGTAGTTGTGTTGTGACCAACAAACTAACAAGCGAATGCATGTATATAAAGAAAAATATGGTGATGTGGGTACATTGGGTGCGGTCATCCTTTTGTTGTCTATGGCTCACTTGATTACATAAATCCCCTTAATTTACCTGAATTGTACGAAGTGTTTGATTGCTATGTAAGCCCCGTATCGTTTATAAGTTTGGGTCTGTCAGTTGGTGCATATCAGTTGGCTATTTTAGCAATCCGCCAGCACCGAAGGTGCCGGAGCGTAGCCAACATGTGCCCGGGCCAGCGAATCAATGCAATCAACATCGGCACAACATGGGCGCAACTTGGGGTTAATTTGGGTCTGGGGGCAACTTCGGCCCTTGGCCCAAGTTGGGCCCAAGTCAGCCCGTGTTCTAGGTTTGGGCGGCTAACATACTCCTCGAAAAACTGTCCCCCAACAACAATGTGGTGCTTCCCGCCTGCAGCTCCCAGTTGACCTGCGAACAGTGGAAATCGATGGAGGCTGGTGATCTAATCGTTGAGAAAAGAGTTCCCCACTAAAATTGGTTGGTGGTTTTAACCATCTTGAAAAATATTAAAGCCAATGGGAAGGATGACATCCCATATATTATGGAAAATAAAAACTGTTCCAAACCACCAACCAGAAAAGGTTGAATTTTTCAAGGGACATAACTTGGGTAGCCCGTTTTCGAGCTATTTCCGAAGAGTAGCAAGCTTCTACAGATAAAGGCGGCCGTCAAAAGGTGAGGAAGACTCTCCCACAGCTTTCTTTCTTGCAAAAAATGTCGTGTTTTTGGCTTTCCACGTCTCAAACCGCGTAAAGTCTGCACCATGGGTCATAGATGTCATAGACATTCCTTCTGAAAGTTGTGCCCTCATCCTGGAATCCTCAAGACATTTCCCATGTTTCACCACCAATTGAAGCTTACAAAAAGCGAAATCTGGCCAATCTGGCCAAGAATTCCTCATCTTAAACCAAAAACATCGCCTTCTCGGCCGGTTTCATCAGTTTCATCCTTTCTCTCCTGGTGAAGTTTGAAGGCGCACCTCGAAGCTCAGGACGAATCTCAGATAGGGACCTGGGCGTCCAAAGATTCGACTGGAAGCCAAACCATCTGGTTATGACTAACAGACATAGCCATGGAAAGATCCACCCATTTTGAAGTTCGGTAAACACCATCTATTTCGATTAGGGCCATGGCTTAACCATGATTTTTAATAGGTAAACACCATCTATTTCGATTAGGGCCATGGCTTAACCATGGCGAACTGTGAATGTCATAACCAGAGGGGTAACCATAGATGACCGTAGTCTATGGTTTTTTTCGTGCTCCCACCAGAAATGGAAACTGAGCAAAAATAGAGAAGAACATAGAAGAACTATAAATCATGAGTCTGGCTGGAATTCACCCAACCTGAAATGTTGAATTTGGGATTGCCAATTCTCAGGATCTGAATGTGGCCAACTAGCACCGCTTCCCCGTTCCAGTCGTGCCCAATGCAGACCAAGCATATTGGAGGCAAATAGTGCTGGCTATGGAGAGGCAAACATGTCACAACTTCCAATTGCCACTATTCATTGCAATGATTTCTGATGTATAGCGTATTATTTCTTATACTTTTTGGGTAGTGTCATCTATCTAATTTATACGTATTCCCTGTACCCAAGTATCAAGCCCCGTTTTCTATTCCTTACCTTCCCTGTCGATTTCGCATGTATCTTGGCTCCACCCCCACCCCGAAGTCGATAAAATCACCGTCATTGAAATCCCCCGTACCATCCGCTAGGTATCTCCATGGCGTTGCTTCCAAAACATCACAAGAGAAACCGTGGTTTCCTTACTGTCGAGGCCTAAAAGGTGACATCTGTCATTGAAAATATTGAAATCACCCAGTGAAATCACCCAGTTCATCCTTCCAAAGTCCGCCAGGGACCACTTCATACCGCCCTCATAAACTTCCTCCTCTGGTTCCGTCTCCTGGCGTCGACTAGGAAAAGTTCAGCCTTTGAAGCAAATCTTCAGACTCTCAGCTTGGTATGGCGGTTATCCATGTTTGTTTGGGATGTTCCATGAAATAAACCATCCAATGAATTTAGGTACCCCAAAAGTAGGAAACCTCCATATGTTTTTTCCCTGTATAGATTGGCTTCACCTTCGCAAAGGCTTACCCAGAAACACAGGAATTGACAAGAATTGGGTATTGCATCAGCATGTGGATGTCAGCCACAACCTGGTGATGTCCCACACTACACCAAAATCCAATAAGAATAGGAAAGAGTGGGAAAGCGCACCAAACTTCCCTGCAGCCCAAATCTCCAGTTTCTCTCTCCCGTTCTTTTCCTTGGTTTTTTTACCATTATCGGTTGAGCTTGGTTGGCTAGTTTCCTTGGTAGAAATCTCGGCCTACATTCCTGATTCTTTACTTCACTGACCTTCACTCAAATCTCCATTTTGCCATCTTTCGTCAGGGTAAATGCCATAGTTCCGCAACCTGAAATAATGCTATGTTGAAACCATTTGCCATATCGCAAAAAAAAAAAAAACATCATGCACAGTGAGCCTCTGAGTCCGTAGCGCTACCCGGCTTTCGTTGATCTTTCACCAGAAAAAATTCCGGCGCCATCCCCCGGGCGCACCATGGTCGCGGTGCTCAGAGTCGAAGCATTCGACGGCTTCTGACTTCGCTTCTGCTTTCCTTCCAAGTCCCATAGGCTCCTGAGCATTGATCAATGGGTACCCTCTGGTAATTTGTTACATAGCTATTGAACATGGCCATTTATAGTGGATTTTCCCATTAAAAATGGTGATTTTCCATAGCTACGTTAAATTACCAGAGGGTATCCCAGAGCATTGAAGCATCAAAAACAACCAACATTGAAGGATTTTTAAGTGGTCCCTAGCGTTTTAGCGTTTTAGAACATCACGGAAAAAACGCCGTAGATCATTTCATCATTTACAAATTGGGATGTTTACGCCAAGTACATTGACATATTCATGACTACTTACCAACTGGGATGCACATCTAAGTTGACATGAGTTATTCCATGCAACATCATTAGATGCGGAACAAAACTGGGGACACTTCACCAACACTGAGGTTTTAAGCATGTATCTGATGGCGCTGAGAACAACCTTAGGTACTAAAAAAAACGTAGGGGTAGAATCAACAACAATTAGGAGATAATACGCACTATTTGATGTGCCCAGTCTGAGATATCAACTGGATATCAACCAAATGCCAACAAAATCCGCTGGGAATCAATTCGTCGCTGATTGATGGCTGAAAACATCTTCGGGGCTGGGCATAATCTGCTGAGCTATCCAACCAAGGTTCAACCACACAACCGGAGTGAGGAAATTCCTTTGTAGACATGACGAAACACCTTTTTTGGGAGTAAACATTAGTAAACCATCAAACAATCACCGAAGAAAATCACACGTGATGTTCAAATAAAACTCTCAAAAATGGAACAAGCGAGAGAGAGAGAGAGAGAGGAGGGGGCAAAAAGAGAGAGAGAGAGAGCGCGAGCGACCGACCGACCGACCGTTGCAAAATGGGAACTTTTTCGGATCTACCAGCGAGTAGACTCAATTTTCGAAATCCAGAAGAGAGCTTGATACCCTCTGGTAAAGGTAAACTGCCACATAACTATGGAAAGATCCACCATGTTCTAGCTGGGAAAATCCACTATTTCTATGGTCATGTTCAATAGCAAACTGTAACAAATTACCAGGCCGGCTATTTTCCGGGAAGCCTTGGACGTTCCATTTCTGACGGCAATTGATCCATGGTGTTCCATTAAATTTGCCATAAATCCCAAAGAAATCTACAAAAATTGGATTAGAATTGTCCATATGAAATCCCAATTTTCAATGTTATACATATTTTCCATGTGGTTTTTCATACATCGGCCACTAGCCGTATATGAATTATCCCATCAGCAACTGATCACCGACTGTGAAGTTGATTGGGAAACCTGGTCAAACTGACACTGGAAACCCACAGTTCTTTTGAATTTCCACGCCTGTTTTCAAGGAATGAAAGAAGTTGGACATATATTTTATATCTATCTGTGTGCGTTTATTTATTTATCTATTTATTTGTGTATTTACTTATTTACTGATATACCTATGTATTTATGAGAAAAATGAGCCACCAAGCTGCAACCAACCCTCAGTCCCAACAAAAATGAGCCACCCCACATCTTCCGCGGGGCATTGCTGGGTCGCGCCGAGGACCTCGTTGGAAAAATATTGGAGATTAGTTTTGGCACCCCAAGTGGCTTGGGCAAAATATCCAGGAATCCTTTAAGGATGAAAATCATGCAATTGTATGACCAACAAAATCAAAACAACAGATTTGAATCATAAATCTCAAAAAGAAAAATATTTCGGAGACTAAGTGGACTAAGGCTCCGTTGGGTTTTTTTTTGAAAGGATCCACCCCTTTTATGCGGGTCAAGTCGTCTCCATCATCGCCGAACCAAAATCTCCAGGGCCCCGCAACCCTCCAGCACTGCTCCGGCGGAAGGTCCTCCATTGGGATGAATCATGTTAGTTCTATAATCGTATCATTTATCTGCATATAACGTGATGACTGACATCAAAGTATTATCTATATTATATATATATATGTATATATGTATATATATATATGTTTATGATTATTTATCTATATGTATGCATTACATAGACACAATATCTGCGTATATATATGTGCGTTAATCTACATATGGATGGATAGATCTCATGGATAGCTATGACAGATATCGATTTCTCAGCGCCAATGTGCCAAGTGGCGGTCGGTGAGCCATCGACCTCAGCTATCCAACTTGGGAGATCCAACGCGCCCGGAACCGCGATGAAAAAAAGGGAACCGCTCCGTTGTAAACACAACGCCGAACTATGAACATGACATGGTACATTATATACATGTTCCATCATTTTCCTAGGATTTATGTCTCTGGTTTCTATTCATAAATTGTATATGTCACCAAAGATGATACTTTTTTCCCATGAATCAAGTCCCAAGTCCTGTTTCGGTGGCAGGATTCTCACGGTTTTTTTGGATGCAGCCATCAATCATCAACCAGCCATGATTTTGGGCATTGCCCGTATAAAAAAATAGGTGGTTGATGATGATGCCTAAAATCGTGACAAATTATTATTTATTATCATCATTATCATCATTATCATCATTATGATCGTGACAATAAATTGATGATGACTGCATATAAATCAATCATCATTATTATTTTATATGCAGTCAAATAATTATCAATCATCATCACTCCGGAGATCTTTTGACAATAAATCGTCACTCATTAAATCGCCAGGATGATGATCTTTCCTACCTTTCTGGGGACCCTTTTCGGTCACACTCCAAGAAAACAGGGTGAAAATTACCGTACCTGTTTTCAAGAAGTCTTCTGAAAATGGCAACAGATCTTCTGCCTAGTCAAGCTGGTTGACCAACACATCGATTGAAACCAATCTTTTTGAGAGTCTATTGTTTAAATGTCGATTTCTCGAAAAATTGTCGGCTAAACTAAACATGTACATTCCCAACAAGTGGTGATAACGTGTCATGATTTTTCCTCATGTGTCTTGTTCAGATATCCATCAAGTCACCCTATTCCATTCAGTAAATTCTGAGTTTTGCTTGTCAAATCCCAGTCTTCGTTGGTCCATTTGTTTTTTTTGTTGCTTACAAATAGGCTGCCCATGTTTTTGTTGCTTCAATCCCCCAACTTTGCAGATGAACTCCACAGATGGGTGAGTTCAATTGATACTCAAATTGAATGCTTAGCCTCTGGTAATGACTAACAGAAATTGCTACGGAAAATGGCACATATGGCACATCGACATCATAGAGTCATCGTTGATGCCCACCGAACTTCAAAATAAGCGGATCTTTCCAGTTCGCTTTTTGTATTACCAGAGGGTACCCTCTGGTAAACTAACGTAACTATGGAAAATCACCATTTTCAATGGGTAAATCCACTATAAATCACCATTTTCAATAGCTATTTTGACATAACCAGAGGCTAAGACTCTTACCATCGACTGAAATCTCTGGTCCCCTCTCGAATTCCCACATCCCAAACCGCGGAAAAACTCCGGAAATCCACTGAGTCCCTGGGATCTCCCCGCGGCCGGGGCATCGAGGGAGCCGACCTGGGCGGTCACGACCGGAGCTTCATCAATATTCCAAAAAAAAAAACCTATGGGTATAGAATAGTGATGATGTTTAGTATTTTGACCCAATATTTGGATATGTTTGGTAATGTCTAGTAACATTTCTAAAAACAATGGATAAATATGGATAGTATTTAGTGATGACCAATAGGTAATGTCGTTTCTGCAGTATTTGCCCATTTACTTCATCAATATTTAGTAGTTCACCAATAGTTAGTCAGTGGTGGATGGGTCAATACATCAATACACTTAGCTCAGCTCCCTCCCAGAGAGTGTCTCAAAATTACCTGGTAAACATACAAAAAGCGAACTGGAAAATCACCATGTTTTTCATGGGTAAAGCATCTATTTCGATGAATGGGCCATCTATACCAGTTCGCAAACTGTAAACGTCTACCAGGCGGGGTAAAACCACAACACAAATGACCCATCGTCCCAGTCGTTGATGATCCATAGTCAGAAGTGCCAGCAAGAAGTTGATCTTGGATACAAGCCATGAAAACCACAAGCTTGGAACCACAGATGGCTTTCGTTGAAAATCTGTGGCATTATGGAAAATCACCATTTTTCATGGGAAAATCCACTATTAATGGCCATTTTCAATAGCTATGTTAAATTACCAGAGGCTAAGACTAAACATCGACTGAAATCTCATGAAATCTCTGGTCCCCTCTCGAATTCCCACATCCCAAACCGCGGAAAAACTCCGGAAATCCACTGAGTCCCTGGGATCTCCCCGCGGCCGGGGCATCGAGGGAGCCGACCTGGGCGGTCACGACCGGAGCTTCATCAATATTCCAAAAAAAAAACCTATGGGTATAGAATAGTGATGATGTTTAGTATTTTGACCCAATATTTGGATATGTTTGGTAATATCTAGTAACATTCCTAAAAACAATGGATAAATATGGATAGTATTTAGTGATGACCAATAGGTAATGTCGTTTCTGCAGTATTTGCCCATTTACTTCATCAATATTTAGTAGTTCACCAATAGTTAGTCAGTGGTGGATGGGTCAATACCAAAATTCACGACCGTGGCCGGCAACTCTAACCAGCCGGAAGCGGGAATGAAATGGATGTTCTTAAAAAATACTCTTAGCTCATCTCCCTCCCACCTGCTGGAGTGTCTCAAAATTACCTGGTAAACATACAAAAAGCGAACTGGAAAATCACCATGTTTTTCATGGGTAAAGCATCTATTTCGATGAATGGGCCATCTATACCAGTTCGCAAACTGTAAACGTTTACCGGGTAAAACCACAACACAAATGACCCATCGTCCCAGTCGTTGATGATCCATAGTCAGAAGAACCACAGATGGCTTTCTTTGAAAATCTGTGGCATATAAAAAAAAGCCACACTGGTTGAGAAAAAAACATGTTCCCCATTGTTTCAATGCCAGAAAGTGATGTTTTCTTATCATATCCCATTTCCATTGTGGAAATACACCAGAGCTCAACTGGGCGCCCAAACGGTTCAGCACAAGCAGTTTCCTGGAGATCCAGAATCCGTGCAGAGGCAATAGCCGGCACGGCTAGTCACGGCTCGGCTCGGAAGATGGGGGATCGGCAACCCCTTTTTTCATAGCATATCTCAACCACGGGGCATCGAAAAAAAGGATGAAAATATCCCAACCAGAATTTCACCAGCGGCCATCAAATCAACGGAAAAAAGAGGACTTTTTTACGGTGGATTTTTAAAAAGATGGCTCCCAAGATTTTCAGATAGAAACCCCAAGATTTTTATTGTTGAAATCATTGATATCCCCCCAAAAAAAAGATCCCAGTTCTTCTGTGTATCTCCATCATATCAGGTATCTCCCATTTTCATTGTATCGGTTGTCAATCCCAATTTCTGTTGGTGAATCTGAAAAATTCCGCTCCGGTGTCATCAGACGTGGCAAGGGAAAATCAACGAACATGACAAATGGTGCATTTTCCTGCCATGTGACTGATGACCAGAGGGAGAATCATCAGTAATCAGCATCAGCATTAATCAGCATTAATCACCAGTAATCCCCATCATTAATCATGATCAACAACTAATCATTATGGCCTCCTTCGTTTTCAAATGTCCCGTCCGCTCCTCTACCTTGGCCGCGATGTCTTTGAATTCTTGATGCTCCTGGCGTGACGCCGACGGTGCAGGGATGAACATTAATGAAAATTGGTCGAATCCGATCAAAATCCACATGTTCTGTGATTTTTATAACACAGCATTGATTCAATTCTCAAAGTTATGAATGGATTAACACTGACATTGTTTTTTCAGTATTGAATTATGTGATCGTCAAAAATCATCAATGATGATCGGGATAGAAGCAGAAAGTCGAGACTTGCGACTAGGCAAATGAAGGGCTACCGGATCCATCAGCACCGAAAATGTCTCACACCACATGGAGAATCAGAATCACGAAGACTACCCTCTGGTAAACGTTTACATAACTATCGAAAATCACCATGTTTAATGGGAAAATCATGGAAAATCCACTATTTCTATGGCCATGTTCAATAGCCATGTTTGTTTACGAGAGGGTAGGATCTCACACCGACGGATCAGCCATGTCGAGATATTTCTGAGGCACTCCAAGGGTATCTGCCAAAGCACAACTCTCAATGGATTGGTTTAAGGGAAAATCTACAGGAAACCATGGTTTTTACCATCAAATATAGGTCTTTCCTGTAAATTTTCCCGTCATCCAATTCTATGAAACTCACCAAAAACCGAAAACGGTCATATCATCAATCTGGGTAAATTATAATATTTCACTAACCTGAATTGTTGGGCCATAAAAGGGGATGATTTCCCGAATCCTAACCATGATTTCCAGGGTTCGGTCGAACAGTGAGGTCGTGATGAAATTTACCCAGATCAATGGTCTGAAGGGTACCACCCGTCTCTCAAGGTCTCGACTTGTCTCTGGTGCACTAGCTGTATTTCTCCATATGAATAGCAAAACAGATTTTTTAAAAAATAGCCTCTGGTAATTTGTTACATAGCTATTGAAAATGGCCCAGTCGAAATGGTGGATTTTCCATGATTTTCCCATTAAACATGGTGATTTTCTATAGTTATGTGGCTGTTGACCAGGCCGGGCACATCAGCCAGTCATAGTTCACCGACCCGAACCCCCCAGTAGACCTCGGAGCCAAAAGTCACGGTCCGATTTCGACCTGGCAGAAATCAAGGAATGTGGAAGCCCAAGATGCCCATAGATTGTGCTAGTGAAGTCTTCCTGAATCCCTAGGATCATTTTTTTGCATCTACGTGTATATATATATACTATATATAATCATACATATGTAGATACTAGTCGTTGTATTTTTTCTTGTAATATCCCACTCACAATTGGTCCCTCAAAACCAGGATGCTGACTAGCGAAAGAAAGAAAAATGCGAACAATGCAATAAGCCGGCAAGGAATATGACCGACCTAATACAGTAAACCAGAGATTTTCCAGCAATAAGCCAAGGATGTACTCGCTAAGAACCAACATGTTGACCAATGAAAATGATGGTACAACCATAGGTTTCTAGCCCAAGTCAAACCTGTACCTCTGATTCATTCCAGTCTTACCCTCTGGTAATTTGTTACGGTTTGCAAACTGGAAAAGCATCATTAAAATGATAGCTGAATCATATTCAATATATTCATCATCGAACTTTTTTTTTTTGGCCGTGGCTTCGCTCCATAATCTCCATAGCTATGTTGAATAACCAGAGGCTACATCCACATCCGTGGCTGAGCCCACCGTCTTTTCTCGGAGTCCTCAGTGGCCATGATTCACCACGATTCCCCCAGAAGGTTTCCCTAGGGAATCAATCCACGATACGATGTTCCCATGATGTGTATATCTACATACACATATATATTATATATATTCACTGTATGCAAAGTGAAATCTTCCATTTTTGCAAAGATCAGAAATAAAACTTTGCAATATCTAAAAAGAGTGTGAAAATCCAACTATCAATGAGATATCGGCGAATCATGGGAGTTGGATATCTGGTTTTGGTGGGTTGTTAACCCCCCAAAATTTCATGGTTGTACCATCTGGATAACCATGGTTGGGATGGTGGGTTTTCTTCCATTTGGTTGGGATGGGATTAGTCCCAACATGTGTAAATACATACATCAGATGTGTCTGAAAAGTGCCATAGCAAACTGGCCATCAAAATTCCTTCAAAAAAAAATGATCGACCAGCAGCTCCATTCCAGTTTTCCAACCATTTTCAGGTATGAAACCCTGCTTCATGATCCCCCAAATATACCAGGTGGCAGTGTGTCAAAACCTTGTACCCCTGTAGTTCACATCAAAATAGCTGGTAAATGGATGTTCATCCCACTAAAAATGTATCTATAGGTATTGACCCATACCCAGGTAGTCAAAAGTCCCCCAGACTCAACTGTTTTTTCGCCCAGCCGCGAATCGCTGGCCCCTCGCTCTCGTGGCGATCGAGGCGACGGCTGGAGCGCCTCTTCACTTGGCGGCCCAGCAATCCGCGGGCTCCGCCAAGCAGAATGATGTTTAAAAAAAAAACAGCAAGAAAAGTAGCATGTAAATCACATACACAAAAAAAAACAGAAAAAAATATATATCTGACTTCTGCGGCAAAATCCCACAGGCCATCTCTGGGAATGATTCATACCACTGATGTGTTGCCGCAAATGGGGGTCGATATTGTTGACCAATCCCCAATATGCCACACTTGTCGTCATGATTTTGGCAGGATTTCACATGACAAAACTGACAATGTCCTGGACACTACTCAAAAAAAAAGAGTTAAGTTGTGGGTTTCGGTCATGCCTCGTCCAATGGCAATTGGAGTTTTACTATGAGAAAATGATGTAGTAGATGGTCTTCCCCTGTTTCGAGCCACAGTCCTTGGATTGTATCAATCTGATTAAATCTTCACTAAACAAGTTTGAATTTCGAGAGTGGGGCACTGCTCATACAGCCCCAATATCTGCCATCAGGCTGTTTCCAACCCCGAAATACATCCAACATATTGTAAAATATACCAAGTGACCAGCAAAATCACCTAGATCTGAAACATCGTACCCTCCGGTAATCAAGCCAGCCATCCACATTTGTCAAGAAACCCAAGGAGAATATGACGGCTATCGCCTAGACATTCCCTGAATATCCATAATACATAAATGATAAATAAATAAATAAATAAGTAAATAAATAAAACAAATAACGATACATATGCACATACACATACATATGCATATATATATATATATGCACATATGTCTATATATATATTATAATATATATATATATATTATATATATAATATATATATATTATATAATATATATATTATAATATATATATAGAGAGAGAGAGAGGTGTCCTAAAATGGGGTGACCCCACATCATCCATCTTATTTTCAGATTTTCCATGACACAAACCCTCCAGCGAGGGGGTACCCCCATTCCTCCAGCGTCTCCGTCGGCCCTTCCACAACTTTTTTCTCCTGAAACGTGCACGCTTCGGAGGCCCGAAATCGGAGTTTGGCAATGGAAATATGGCTGTGGGTCAATTTAAAGCCCTGGGTAACTACAGATCTTAGTCTATTTTTTCATATTAACCATCCAATTTGGTATTCACCATCCACAGGTTAGTGCTATTTGAGGATGTTTACTGAGGTAACTATGAGTCATTACTAGGGTAGTGAATGATGGTCGGTGATGGTGAATGATGTTGTTGGGGATGATTCTTCGGAAAATGTGGATGATCGTGATGATTGAGGGTTAATGTGATGGTTCCCTAGTGCTCCAAATCCCAAAATGCACAAAAAATATGCGGAGCCGTAGGGGTTATATAGTGGTGTTTAAGGATGGTTAATGAGTTTGCTCTAATTACTAGGATAGTCATTGGGATTGGTGCACGGTGTTTCATAATGTTTCATGATGCTTGATGATGGTGAATGATGGTGAATGGTGTTCACTGGGATAGTGGGATTGGCAAAAAATGATGGGATGGGATCCACAATAGTAAACCAATAGTAAACCATAAACTCACCATTTTTCATCTGGATACTGTGGATGGTTGCAACAACCTGCTCCAGTTGCGATGCCTTTTTCCGGGATTCCTATGAAGTTTCCCTGTAAATCATGGGGATTCTAGTGCCTAGGTATCCCCAATATCTGGGCACCGCAAAAGCGGTCTATTCTGTTGGTTGGGAAAAAAAAGGACTCCGAAAAAAAATTGCAGGTGGTACCATAAAATTCTGGCTTTTGCGAAACATGGGACAAAAGGGTTATGTTGGTTTTAAAAAATCTTAGGGCTTTTGTTGTTGCAAAGATCCCAGAGATGCACATCGCCAATTCACTGAATGTTTTCCGAAACTCGATGCATTCAAAGCAAAGATCAGAAACTTTTGGGCGCGAATGAACATCAATCAACAAGATCTAAAACAACATCTACAAACCAGCTTAGAATAAATCCATCATAAAACCATCTGTAAATACATCTATAAATCATTATAAATTCCCATCTATAAATCATCATAAATCCATTTGTAAATCATCATAAATCCATCTATAAATTATCATATATTCATCTATAAATCATAATAAATCCATCTATAAATCCAGACATAAATCCCAGTAAAGATCACCATTTTTGGGCGACATATACATATACACATACATATGCATATATATATAGAGAGAGAGAGAGAGGTGTCCTAAAATGGGGTGACCCCACATCATCCATCTTATTTTCAGATTTTCCATGACACAAACCCTCCAGCGAGGGGGCTCCCCCATTCCTCCAGCGTCTCCGTCGGCCCTTCCACGACTTTTTTCTCCTGAAACGTGCACGCTTCGGAGGCCCAAAATCGGAGTTTGGCAATGGAAATATGGCTGTGGGTCAATTTAAAGCCCTGGGTAACTACAGATCTTAGTCTATTTTTTCATATTAACCATCCAATTTGGTATTCACCATCCACAGGTTAGTGCTATTTGGGGATGTTTACTGAGGTAACTATGAGTCATTACTAGGGTAGTGAATGATGGTCTGTGATGGTGAATGATGTTGTTGGGGATGATTCTTCGGAAAATCATGTGGATGAGCGTGATGATTGAGGGTTAATGTGATGGTTCCCTAGTGCTCCAAATCCCAAAATGCACAAAAGATCTGTGGAGCCGTAGGGGTTAGTGGTGTTTAAGGATGGTTAATGAGTTTGTTCTAATTACTAGGATAGTCATTGGGATTGGTGCACAGTGTTTCATAATGTTTCATGATGCTTGATGATGGTGAATGATGGTGAATGGTGTTCACTGGGATAGAGGGATTGGCAAAATATGATGGGATGGGATCCACAATAGTAAAACAATAGTAAACCATAAACTCACCATTTTTCATCTGGATACTGTGGATGGTCGCAACAACCTGCTCCAGTTGCGATGTCTTCCGGGATTCCTATGAAGTTTCCCTGTAAATCATGGGGATTCTAGTGCCTAGGTATCCCCAATATCTCACCGCAAAAGCGGTCTATTCTGTTGGTTGGAAAAAGAAAAGGACTCCGAAAAAAAATTGCAGGTGGTACCATAAAATTCTGGCTTTTGCGAAACATGGGACAAAAGGGTTGTGTTGGTTGAAAAAAATCCTAGGGTTTTTGTCAAAGATCCCAGAGATGCACATCGCCAATTCACTGAATGTTTTCCGAAACTCGATGCATTCAAAGCAAAGATCAGAAACTTTGGGGCGCGAATGAACATCAATCAACAAGATCTAAAACAACATCCACAAACCAGCTTAGAATAAATCATCATAAGACCATCTGTAAATACATCTATAAATCCATCTATAAATCCCCATCTATAAATCATCATAAATCCATCTCTAAATCCATCTGTAAATCATCATAAATCCAGACATAAATCATCATAAATCCATCTATAAATCCATCTGTAAATCCAGACATAAATCCCAGTAAAGATCACCATGTTTGGGCGACTCGCCGTTTGGTTTTCGATCCTCCAGCGTCTCCGTGGGCGCTGCGGTCGCGACTTCGTCAGCCTCACCGGAACAAAATAGGCACCACTTGGAGCCTTCCAAGGCTTGGCTTGGCCCTGTTGGTAGAATCCTTGTATTAACCACCAATTATGGTTATAAATCATATCTAATATATATATATATATTATAGTATAATATTATATAATATAATATAATATAATATATATAATATATAATATATAATATATAATATATATATATATATTGTATATAATATATATATATATAAATAAATATATATATATAATATATATATAACTTATGACCATTAATTGCAATGTCTATAACCATTAATTAATTGTAATGGTGAGAATACAAGGTAGTAATCCTACCAATTAGTGACAAAAATGTCACCAATTGGTTAATGGTGTAGCCCTGTTGGTAGAACCACTTGGTGACATCAATTCTACACCACCAATTGGTTTTTTTTTACAGATCACCACATCTTTGTTCCTGACGTCACCGTGCACCCGACCCGCCCTGCTTTGTCGGATGTCGCTTTTTCGGGCTCTTTCTCCTCATCCGTTCGATCCTGGAGCTTACCAAGCCTCGAAAAAAAGTGAAAAAAAAAACTTGTTTCATGAGCTTACCAAGCCATGTTTAGTATGATTTAATGAGATTTCTTGATTTCTTGATGGGGATCTATTGGGATATTCATGGGAAAAAATGGGAAACAACGGGACTCCATTTCACTTGGGCTGCATCCGTATGGGTTTGTCTGAAAATAATGTACGCACGTAGCCAAAAATCCAACGGTTGAAAACCCCATGTTCCCTTTTCAGATAGACATATATTGGAATTGAATTATCCATGAAACCCCTATTGTATCTGGTTGGTGGATGACCTACCCCTCTGAAAAATATGAGTTCGTCAGTTGGGATGATGAAATTCCCAATATATGGAAAAATGAAATTCATGTTCCAAAGCACCAACCAGGTATTGTTGGCCATGTATCTCAAAACAAATTCCACCGTATCGCCGACCAAACTGGTGTCCCATCACATCCCCATGTTCGTTGATTAAAGTCCACTCTGCGGTAAATTGACAGAGCTTCCGGAAAAATGCCCCAATGATAGGAGTTACCCTCTTTTAAAAAAAATGCGCTGATCCAGGGCTATGTTAGTTTACTGGAAGGTTTTCATCCATTTTCATGATATACCCACCCTGACATCTCCATCGTTTTTGTAGGCACTATTGCAACCCCCAAAAGATAGAAAAGGGGGTTACTATAGATATATCCACCATAAACTACTCGTGATTGTAGTGGTAAATCAACTTAGCTGTCTTGGGGGCCCACCTTGTATCAATGGCCATTTCAGGTACCGATTGATTGGAGGTACCTACCATATATATAAGGCCTCTGCAAGTGCTAAATTTCAAGGGATATATCCCCAAAATATGGATTTATATGGTATAGTACCTCCAGTTTATGGCTCTGAAATTTCCATTGATTGTATAATTGGTATCATATTGATGGGATATATGCCATCCATACAGTAGATAGACAAAAAAACAAACCCTACAGACGCCTGCCAAGTAAAACCCCAGGCCCAAAAATTTAAATATCGCACGAGGCTCTATATTTATATATATATAGCTTCATCTGCGTTCAGGGTTTGATTTTTTATCCAGCGGCCAAGGGCAGCATTGAAATTTGGGGATGTGGGGGCGACAACAATACAGCAGGGGTTTGATTTCATTGTCCATCTACGGTATGTGCATACCCTCTGGTAATTTAACATATCTATGGAAAATCACCATTTTTAATGGGAAAATCCACTATAAATGGTCATTTTCAATAGCTATGTTAGTTTACCAGAGGGTATGTGGATAGATCATCGGATATTGATAGTGAAACCTATGGGTTTGGGGATCCTCCATTTTAGGAAACCTCCATATGTTTAGTTACCTGAAATGACCATTGATTGTATCCATCATGAGTCAAAACCCTGGTACTGTAGCTATATACCCTATAATAGCTGGTTAATGGATGTTCCCCCATTATATATGGTACCCTCTGGTTATTTAACAGCTTGATATAGTTAAAATCACAATTTCCAATAGGTAAATATAGGTAAATCATCCATCAACAATAGAAATTACCTATATTTACCTATATTAACCTATATTTACCTATTAGAAATGGTGACCTTTTTCCGTTTTTGTCGGTTTTTGACCCATCCCCCACCTCCCTCTGCGCCGTCCTCAGGCTTCAAAGTCCCTCTGCGCAAAGTGCTGGCGCTGAAACGACTGTCCAGCCTTGGACATGCCAGAAAGATTGACGAATCTGCATATATATGATACATGATGTGTATAAACTATATATATATATGTATATATATATATATATTTATGCAGGGTATCTATAAATATATATATATATGTCTATACATGGTATCTATAAATATATATATATATGTATGGTATCTATAAATATA